AAATGACCTTGTTCCAGCGCTTGCAGTAATTTTTCCTAACGATAATGACCCTGATATTCCTGATGACACCATATGGTTTCAGCAAGACGGTGCACCTCCACACTATGCGCGCCCTGTTTGAGATTTTCTGGACAATTGTTTTCCTAGGAGGTGGATCGGCAGACGAGGACCGATAGAATGGCCCGCGAGATCCCCAGATCTTACACCCCTGGACTATTTCTTATGAGGCTACTTAAAGTCCAAAGTGTACGTTAATAGACCACATAATTTAGAAGAATTACAAAATTGTACCCCAGAAATAATTCATAATGTGCAAGAAGAATTTCTGCACAGACTTTCATATTGTCAAGAAGTCGGTGGGTGAGTTAATTTAGGTAGAAAACTTAATGAATTGTATTTGCTTGACATAGGAATTGTTATTTTTTTAATGAATAAAATTTACGTTTTCTAACATTCAATCGTCATTTACTCGAAAACTCTTCCTATGTAAGATCGACAATGAAACGATCTTTCAGAATCAAGAAAAAAAATAGATTAAAAATAATGTCGATGACGTCATTACTCGAAAACAAATGACGGTTGAAAATCGCCTTTTATGCTAAAATATGTATTTTTTAAATTAAAAATCGACTTGTTCGAGGATTTTCCCCCAAAAAATTTGTTTTGTTTTTACTGAATTTATTCCATACTTTATGCGCGTACTGTATGTATGTGTGATGTAATATTTCTTGCGGACATAAACACTTTGATTCTCTGATAATTGAAGAATCATGTTTACAACTCTCACAGTATTTATATATTCATAGATATTTTTATGCATTAATTATCAACTGACATTTAAATACCTCAGTTTGGAATGATTTTATGCGCTATTGTATCCACGTATGTAAAATGTGATACAATTTATTCAATATCATTACTTTTTATGCGACAAATATCTTATTGATAAGCCAGACGTTTCCCTGCTGTCTTATTTAAAACTTTAAAACTTTCTGTCACTTTTTCCAACTCACCTTCATACAAACTAGCTGCACAATGAACGAGAACAAACAAACACGCGACGACACTAAAATTAAGCGGAACAACCATCTTACTGCTGCCAGGACACGAAACTGACTCAAGATTACCATTGAAATGCAGGTCTTGTCGACCTCAAGTCCGTGGGGAATTTTGTTTTGCTGTGCAGCATATTTACTGGCAAACCGAAAAGATCTGTAAATTTATTTTATTAATTATTACTATAGGCAACTGCACATACGTAATTAACTGATAAATAGTTAATAATTATTCATTAAAAGTCTATAATTGGAAGCGAGTTATCCACAAACTATTACAAAGTAAATAGCTCTGCTCTTATATTATTTTCTTTTTATTCAAAGGCGTACCACAAGGGGACCTCAGAAGGTTCAAATCTATCAATTTTTCTGTTTTAGTTCTTTTATTTGTAAGTTTCGTTAAAAATCTATTTAGAAAATTAGAAATAAACTATTTGTGATTATAAAAAACCAAAATACGTTAGAAGCAATCATTTAGGTCTCGATTGGTTCACTGATCGGATAAATAAATTGCTATATGGTACGTTACAAATATGTAATTCTAGATAACAATTTAACTAGCGGTTTATTTAACCAAATATTAATCGAGACTTAATATATATTGTCTTTAATTATTGTAATTAAATCACTGCATTTCAATACAATTTTCACTAGAATAACCAGATAAACCGATACTTGTGCAACTCCAAAACACACCATACGCCATACTGCCATCCACCATGCCACTGTCACGAGATAACCTAATGGGATGATGGGAACAGACAGAGACAATGCATCTGGATACGAAAGAGGGTGGGATCATTCTGTAATGACTATATTTACTCTGATTTAGGTACAAGTGCACCAAATACGAGTTTACTTGAAGAATTTATTTAAGGAGTTCCTATATTTGAGTGAAAGTACTCAGTTTTAGTTTAAATATAATCACAAATGAGCAAAATGATCAAAATGCCCACACTCCGACAGTGTGTGGATTGTTCAACCCGAGATGTCTAGCAATTTCAATTGGCATTTCTGTTCGTTGACCAGAACATTTAACACGAATAAAAAATGTGTTAATGTAAAATAAAAATGGCACTTCGATTTTTATCAATTTAAATTAAAAACTGAAATCGTGTAACCATTATAAAATTTAAAAACTTACCTTTGAGATAACTTAAAACTTTGAAACATACTTACCTGAATCGGAAGAGATAAAAACAACAAACCACATCATTTAAACATCATTATAATTCCAGTTACCTACTTTAATGTCTTGGCGATAATCGGAACAGCAAAATTTTCCACGAAATTAATTTGAATTTACTTGGTCATTGTTGTTTCTTATAATATAAGACTCGGAATTTTGAAAAATCGTTCCGCTAACAGATCTCTTTAATCACTATTGATGATAATGATGTGTTTCTAGCCTTGTAGTAAAAAACAATTGTCTTCACATAAAATGAACGAAATAAACGAACAGAGTCTATATTTAAAGAAAAAACAAATTTACAATCTTCATAAAAAAATATCGAGGCATAAAACAGATATCTCTACTTCCAAACGGTATCTTCTATCCATTTGATGTAAGCAGATACTCTTGTGTAGACACTTGGAACATCTGCGGGTGTAATTATATCTCCAAATGATGCCACACCGACCACATCGTATATGCAAGTAAGGTTTCTATCTTCTCTGTGAATTATAGTGAGAGGACCACCGCTGTCTGGCTAAAACAACAAATAAACGTTTAATTGTTTAAACTGTATCCAAGAATTCGGAAAGGATATTTTGGTCTTCAACTACCTACCTGATAAGTTACAAGCGACTTAGTCCCAGCACACACCATTGTGTCATAATCGATACCTTTGGTTAACCTGTTATTCAGCTTGTGATAAGTTCTGTTGCAGCCTTCCAAATCGTATAATTCCAGAACTACTTTTTGCAAACCGTTGTTGAATTCGCCGTTAAATTCTGTGGCACCCCAACCGCTATTGACTGCTTCCTTCGTACCGATTTCTTTCTCAGTATAGAGACAAGCAGGTCTGGTGTAAACATTGATATCTACCTTCTTCTCCAGCTTCACTAGACCAATGTCGTTGTACACCAATGGGTTTTTATAATCTGGATGCGGAATTACCTCGGCCACTTTTATGTCCTGTCGATGAACTGTATCTGTCAAATTGGCTACGCCTAGCCGCACCACCGATGGTCTGCCACTAGAAGTAAACAAGGAAGTTTTATTATCGTGATCATTTTGGAGTTCCACAAGGTTAACTTTTAAGACCACTTGTATTAGCCTTGTTCATAAATGATAAATTTTGTAAAATCAACTACTATTAGCGCCTGTATTTGACTTATATGACCTCAAAGTTAGTGTCAGTTAGCGGTCTATTGTATTTTATGTTCGATATTCTTTATTTGTCGATACTTACAAATTGCGGGGAATGAGGCAATGTGCAGCAGCTAGGACATATTGCTCACTTATAAGTGTGGCTGAGCAAGCCCAAAAAGTCTTGTTTTCACTTTCAAATCCCAACATAACCTAAAAATAATGAATTTAACAGGGTGATTCAGAAATGGTGACCAAAAATGAAACCTCGTATTCATTGGTGAATTTTAAGGGGCTTTTCCTATAAAGTTTTTATTTAGGACGCTTCGTTAAAAAGATACAGGGTGTTAAACTTCAAAACATATTTTACATTTTTTTTTTAAATAATTTAAAAACTATTGTCTGTTTAGAAATGAAAGAGAGTAATAAAACCCCGAGATAAGAACCGGCCATGGGCGTGGTAATATTTCGTTTCAGGTAATTATCGGGTAACAGTAATGCTAATTCCTTGACAAAAGGAGGAATATTTATTATCTAGACGAAACTTGGGTCAACGAGGGATATACTGTAACAAAAGTAAGGCAAAATAAAAATGTAAAAAATTTTCGTCAAGCATTTTTGGATGGACTTTCAACAGGGTTCAAGGCACCTTCAGGTAAAGGGCGCAGATTAATAGTGACACATATAGGTAGTGCCAGTGGTTTTGTAGATGGCGGTTTACTTTTATTTGAATCTAAAAATACAGGTGACTATCACGAAGACATGAACGCAGATGTTTTCGAAGAGTATTTTACACAGATGTTGGATCTTATTCCTCCGGGGTCTGTAATTGTCATGGATAATGCCAGTTA